ACACACACACACACACACACACACACACACACACACACACACACACACACACACACACACACACAACTCTGCAGATCTGGATTTAGAGCACAAGTAAAAATCTGCTGCAGGGACAACGGTGTGTATTTATTTCTGTTTATTTGGGTGAGGAGGAGAAAAGAACCAAACAAGAGTGGGCCTGCATGTGAGCGGCAGAAAAGGGAGCCAAAGAAAGAGAGAAATAAGGAGATGCTGGGGGAGTGATGCGGGACAGAAAGCCAAAGAGCTGCAGAGAAGAGAAAGCCAAACCTGAGATAGATTGGTGGCTATAGGGAGGAGGAGGAGGAGGAGGAGGAGGGGGAAAGGATGCAGCAGAGAAACTGAGAGAAGGGAGGTGATGAGGAGAGAGGAAAAAAAGCTATTTGTGAGATCCGAGCAAGTGGATAACAGGGAGGAAATCAAGGTAAAGAAGACTGCTCTGTTATCAAACTGACTGCAGGTTGAGCTTTTTCCATCATCTGTATTATAAATCAGATAAAAAGCACAAGTGTGTGGTCGACTGACAGAGATGTAACCTTCAAACACACGTAGAAAAGACTGATTTATTCACTGTAAAACTTGAAGTTTTTTTATTGCTCATGAGTAAATTATAAGTAAAGCATTTGAAATGACACTTACTGTATTTTTAAATGTGTACAGTAAATACTCTATACATAACTGTGGTAAAGCTATAAATCAAAGTGTTAATTCATTATTGTGAAGAACATCAGATAACATTATGTAATTTATTAGTCTACATTTAGGAAAAGTATTTAATCTACAGTGATAAAACTGATTTTAGACATTCCTTAGTGCCTCTTTAAAGAGTTCTTATAAACAACTGAAGCTATTTATTAAAGCCAATAAAGCATTAATACATATATATACATATATGTTTGATCAAACTTTCWGACATTTTAAGTATATTTTTGCATCTGTGCCTAAATACAAGTTATAGAGGCACAAAGTATCTTCAACRTTACTGTGAAATATTACTGTAAAATGTATTTTAATTTAATTTCTACTAAAATTATTATTAACTCCTTCATGTCTTCAACACAGGTGGTTCAACTGGTAGATTTGTTGCCTCCCAGCAAAAAGGTTGCCAGATTGAATCCCATCCCAGGACCTTTCTGGGTGCATGTTCTCTCCATGCACGTGTGGGTTTTCTTCTGGCGCTCCAGTTTCCTCCCACAGACTAAAAACATGACTGTTAGGTTTAACTGGTAACTCTCATTTGTCCACATGTGTGAGTGAGAGAGTGAATGGTTGTTTGTCTATGTGTCCCTGTGACGGACTTGGGACCTGTCCAGGGTGTACCCCGCCCCTTGCACAAAACTGCTGGACATGGGCACCAGTGACCCCCATGACGCTATAAGGACAAAGCAGGTTAAAATATTAGATGGATGTTTTCAATACTCTAAATATCAGTTTGAGAATGAAAGACTGCAAATGAACAGATTTATAAGTTACATTAAAAAAAACACAAGGTAAACTCAAGTCCACATTTTCACTAATGTGCTGTACAAGAAAGAAGAAGAAGAAAAATCCCTCCTTTGTTCAGTGTTTCTGCTTTCTGCCAGCCTGGAAAGCAGTGACAGCACACTCGACCCACCCCATCCCTTCCTCACTCAGCTCAGAGCAGAAGGATGCTGTGTCATCAGAGACTGAGGACTCAGACGGAGCACTAAAGCCCGGCCCTCGCTCTAATTTACTACACCCGGAAAAGAAAGACAGAAAAAAAAGAACGCACGCCAGAGTCCAGGCGGGGGGGGGGGGGGGGGGTAGCATAATGGACAGAGACACACTCAGGAAGAGAGAGCTGCTGGTGCATAATGTAATGGTGTGTACAGTGCGTTTCAGAAACTGCTGCTGCTGCTGTGAGCTCACCTTGTGCACCCTCTAGCAACTGCTGCCGAACACAGCCCTGCAGACAGGAGCGCTCTGCTGCACACGGCTGGGACTGCAACCACGCCGGGGAGGAAAGAAAGCTTTTGCTGTGACACAACTCAAAGCTCCCCTGTTCTTTCAYATGGTAGACAAGCATTTATGTCACCCAGAGCACTCCTCTGCCCTCCATCGACCCTGCCCTGCTCTTCCTGTGCGACTCCAGCGGCTCACACGTTGTCTAGTCACATCAGACGCTTGAAAAGCCCAGCCAGTCCTCTCCTCATCACAGGGGAAAACAAGAACTGCAACTCTGCATTTCTCTTCCTCGCCACTGCCCCCTCTTCCTCTCTTTTATACATGAGTGCTGTGATCAGATTTCCTGCAGCAACAACACACACACACACACACACACACACAACACTGACCAACACACACTTAGAATCACTCACTGACGTACGGCGTGATGATGAGCGACTGTCGGTCAAGTAGAGGAGACGGGCAGCCTTGAAAGGTGAGGGCACAGACAGACAGACGGGGTGGGGGAGGGACCCTAACTGTGAAAGCACTCCCTCAGGTGTGATGAAGGTCAAATACAGTTAAAGGAAATGATTGATTTGATTGATCAAAAGTTGGTGTGTGGTTTCTCTCCTGTCATAATCGTAAAAGCGAGGAAGACTCCTGACTCAGCAAAACACAGGGAGGTGAGATCGGATGTGCAGAGACACACATGAAGCAGAAAGAGTCAGAGAAACTGACAACTCAGTGACTCCATCGGCTTTATAAAACCCTGATAATCTACATTATAACACAAATCACAGGCCCAGCTGCAACACATCCAGTTAAACGCTGCAAACAATGGCGTTGTTTTGGAAAACAAATCTTTTAAAAAAGAAAAAAAACTAACTGAGCATCAAATATTACTTAAGAGGGAATTAAAAACACTGCAGCAGATGTTATATAACTCCTGAAGAAGTGAATTTTATAAACGTATTAGCAAAACTAGAGAACGATGGTTTAAATTGGAACATCTGTTCACATAGGTTTTTGGATTCAGTGTTTGCAGAGATAACCTGCATGAGAGCATCATAGGCATTTATTAAAAAAAGAACAATAATAAAATAATATATAGGCCATTATACTGTTAATTTACAAAAGAGATATTTAGACATAAATATTAAAGCTATAATATTATTCCCCTGTGTTTCAGAAATATAATCAAATTTTAAGGTTTTATACTTCTTGAAGTAATAAATAGTTGCATAAATTATTAATTTTCAACCATTTTAATCAGTTGTTGCACTTCTTTTATATCTTTTAAGTCAACACACAGGACTAGTTATACCATTTAGGTTAAGCAAACCTTTCTGAAAATAACTAATCTGCTTTATTTAGCCAACTTTTTTGCACATATTTTATAAGTTATTAAACTGTTGTTCTTATTGTTTTTTCACACAGTTAATCACATATGTTTAATATAAATAAATGAGCTTGAAATTCACTGATGGAGCTGTCTTTTTATAGAAATGTTCTTTTTTAGCTTGTTTGCTTGTTTATTTGAGAGGCATGTTGATGGATATGTTATTGACCCCCTGAGGAAACTGTTCTGTCATTGCAGCAGGCAATAAAGTGCGCAATAAAGACAGGCTGTAAAAAATAGTATGTGTATGATAAAAATGGATAAATATCGATTATGAAATAAAAATTTAGGAATAGTGTTTTGAAAATCCAAAAAAAGTGATAATGAAAACAGTGAAAAGAGTGAAACAAAAACCAGTATGTAGAAGAGAATGTGTTTTCAACAAAGATTTTCAGTCACAATGTATTTTTTGTTGTTTGTTTTGCCTTTCATATGTCTACAAGATATTGTTGTTTTTTTGATCAGTTTGTTGCCTAATATTTCCTAAATGAGACTAAGCCTCTGGGAACCCAAAACAGAAGAAGATGACACAAAGGGACAAAAGTTGAACAAAAAAAATACATTTCTGAAGCACTTGTGAAAAGTTGTCAGGGATAATAGAGCAATAATGTAAGCCTTCCTGAGGTGACCACTGAGCTGTGGCTGCAAATCAATCGATTACAAAAAGGCACATGCCGATGATCTTTCCATCCACCTTACGACGAGAGGAAAGCTGCTCAGACAAACCGTCAGTTCTGCTGACTCAGCATTTCGCAGGCTACAGATTCTCTTACACATTATCACGGCCACAACACAGGAGACTGGCTGCTCCACACAGCTGAAGGCTACTTTAGCTTGCTTCTGCTTTTTTCCCCCTCACTCTCCTCCACTTCCTGCATGTCCCACCATCCATCTTCTTCTTTTTCCTCCCTCTTTCACTGCTGCAGAGCTCAGCATCCTCTCTGATTAATATATAATTTGGAAAGAAGCTGTGAGGTTTGGACCAGCTGTGTCTCTATCACATCAATACACAAGCTGACTGTCCTTACGAAGTGGAAAGTTTTTTGTCTGAGTAACTTATAGTGGGGAAAACATTGCAGCATAATTATAAATAATAATAATAATAATAATAATAATAATAATAATAATAATAATAATAATAATAATAATAATAATAATAATAATAAAAACTAGACATCCATTCTTTTTAAATCTCACAACTCTGTAAAATAATAATAAAAGAGAAAAATCTCATAATTTTTGATAAGATTGCCGCTGCAGCATATAAACAAAAGTGAAGAGAAAGAACACTTGGTCAAATCAGCACGTATGCAGAAAAATGATATATTTTTTCACATAGCTACACTCATGGGAGTCACATAAACATGCCTTTAAAAAGAAATCTTATCAGATTGTAAACTGTCCTCCCCTCCAGCAGGTAATGTTTGCCTCCCTTGAATCAACTCAACTGAAAACAGACTCATTTCTGCCCTAAGAGTGAATCAAACAGCAAACCTGCAGTTACAGAGAAAGCACCAAAATATACCCAAGCTGTGCCAGCTGTGCGTTCATTATCCAGGTGTAGTTTGGAGGAAAAAAAACAGATACTGCATCATCTTAGAGTGCAAAATACAAAGAATGAGCTCCACGTTCAAAGGAAAAGCTTTTAACCGCCTCAAGGTCACCTCATGTAGCAGAACCCCCTGTCTGCAGTGAATAAACTTCATTTTGACTGAAATAATATGAAATCTGAATGTTATGTGGCTCATAATGTTAATGGAGCCATCTGTATTTTGTGCTTATGCTACAGAGTGGACAGCTTAAAGTGAGACTTGTGAAAAGGTTCTGCAGAACAGCAGGTGTGTAATTATAAGGAAGCTCAGAGTTTTATTTGTGAAACGATGTAATAACTAAAAGCACAACTCACTTTCTGGTTCACATAGTATGGATCCAAATCCTCCAGCGGCGTTGCCACCATTCCATCAGGAATGTCGCCGTAGATGAAGGGCAGGCTCTTCCCGGCCTCCAGGTCACTGTTGGGCTTCGGCTCGTTGTCGTCGGACGAGTCGCGGTGACTGCTGTCCGACCTGGGCTTGGGCGGCTTCTTGTTCTTCTCATCGTTGATGCGCTTCTCAATGTTAGCGAGGGACTCCCGGGTGAAGTACTTGAAGCTGTCAGGTCCTGGGGGTGCAAGAAGGGGTGCGGCCATGTTTTCATCCTGCAGCTATTTCCTTTTTATTTGTTTTCCATCCCCGACATGCAGCTCTGCGAGAGGGGGAGAGGGATGCAGGGTGGTTAGACGTGGACGAGCAAAGACAACAGCAACTTAAAACAAACTGGATAAAAGTATATGTATATATATATATATATATATATATATATAATAAAA